AAAGTATCATTGCAACGGTTGTTTTGCGTGCAGAAAGCGTGGCAGTCTCACCACACGCTTAATCGGATTAAAAGTCCACATTCTGACCAGACGTAACTGCGTATTTATGAACCCCGCACAAACATGAGGACACCCCTTTTAGCATCGGTTTTTCTGTCGGATGGGAGAACTCCAGGGGACTTCATTTCTATACATCAATCAACCCAGGGGATTTCACATTTTTCTTCCCACGAAAGTTGCGTAAATGAACCTCTCTCGAAATTTTGTTTTTAAACTGTACAAATCGTTTTTTAACTGCTCATTAACCTGTTGAACGTTACTTGTCCATTGACTTTGGTGCAGGAGATCTTTCATATTATAGCATGGATTTTAAAATTAACATTTTTCTTATCTCCTCTTAATATGTCTACTGAAAAAGTCGATCCCCATGGTTTTGTTTTTATCACTGCACGAATAGTATTTTCTATTTCCTTTTTAAAAGGCTATAACTTAGGTTTAAAGAGGTATGAAGATAGCTATGAATGTCGCTCTTAAAACGACCACATACACACCCTTCTAACCATCAACTGTTGGGTCAACATTTTAACTCTGATCATACGTAGGCGTCATAGTTTGTCCTACAAATTAAAGCAAAAGACATAAAAAGAGAACTTTTGTACACAGCAACACTAGAAAAACCACAAATGACCATTTGTACTCGATAAACTGTTAACGGTTACGACCTATAGCGTAAGTAACCATCTTATAATTTATAGCGTAGTATACGTGCTCGTCGTAGTAAAATCTATACCCATTAATAGTCTAAATGTCATGGTCATTAAGGTCATATTTGTGGTCACTAGGTTTATAATTTGAAATTACGGATTTAAATAAATAAAACAAGAGGTATATAACCAATTGACTATCAGAACGATTCATCTGCTTTAACGCGAAACATTGATTTCGCGTATAAAGGTGTGTGTGTCTTTTATTTTGTAGTTTTTCTCCTTTTTCTTATTTATCTAGCGCCTATACACAGGCACTTGTCTCTGAAAAAAATCCTATATACCTTAATATAACATATAATGTTATATCAAGGTATATAGGGAATTTGTTTTTCAGAGACAAGTTCCTATGAATTATATCCACCAGAGTTCAAATGAAGTAGCAACTATATATAGGTTACAGTACTAAGAGTTCTAACAACTTCTATAACCATTGGTATTGGTGGACAAACAAAACTGACAATGAACTGCTTTTATGTACTCAAAAAAGTCATACCGTCTGTCTGGTACAATGAGCTCGAAACTCAGGTTAAATAGATACTCGTATTGCTAATCTTCAATATACTAGAACAATGCTAACCTTAAACAAAGGCAATTTTTGTCTTTCCTTCCCCGGCTTTTCATAAATACATAGACACGTTTCAACGTAATACGCTGTTTGTAACGTATATACATAGATCATTAATATTGTTTAAGGAATTACTGGACATCAAATGCATTCTAACATTTATTTATTGTAGAAATGTATCAGACGATTAGGACATGCTTTATTCAAAACTTTATAATACTTGGAATTTTCACCTGTCCACCAATAAGTATATAAGTAGGTATTCAGGTACAATGATTGGAAACAAGTTTAAACTCCTGATGTGGTAATCGAACTTTGATCTTGTGATTTTAATAACCACAATAAATAGATAAATTTGTCAAATGTCTGTGAAAAGGTGAATTATTATCAATAGTAAACCACACATGACGACAAATGTTGATCTCCCGCCATTAATGGAATCATTTTGCGTTTGATGCGCATCCAGCGCAAAATTGCTTTATTACAATACTTAAATATTTATGGTCAAATTTTGGGAAGGGAGGGGTCGAGGTCACATATTAATTGCAGCTGCGGATAAAAAGTGTTTGCGATCAAATATGTTTCATTGTTAAAATTATTTGAACAGACCGAATAATTTCATTAAAAAGTGTTTTAACTTTTAGTTTTTGTTATCTTGGTTTGTGATTCACTGTTGGTTGTTCATCGCACCTGAAACTGCGTCGTTTCTTTTTCATTTTTAACACTTACGTTTTGCACTTAAGATTCATAGATTCATATGGAAATATATGATAACTTCTTTAACGACAATTTTGGTTCATTCTATGATTAGGGGGGGGGGGGGGCATTTTTCATTATAACTAACGCGTATTGAATAACATTCTCATTGAATTGATATTACTAACCAACTTTTTGTAATTACATGATTTCTTTATTCTGTACACCATTCTGTAATATGTCACAGTTATACTTTATACATTTGCACCCCATTATTCTCTATTGTTTATTTATTTTGCTAATTTTTCTCTCTTCATTATTTGTTGGGCCTTTAGTCCCTAATCTGTAAACCCCTCCATACCTTCTCCTATATGTTCAAGTTGAAGCATCTGTCAAACTCTATACATATATAGTACTGGAGAAATAACGTTTGATGTCAATTGAAATTACACGACGATCAACAATTCAAATACGCTGCCACGTAAGCTTCACCTACTATACATGCATCATCTCCGTTGGGATGGGGGTGGGTGTTGGGGTGGGGTGCTTATTTTTAACGAGTGGTAGGGTTGAGCTGCTGGAATATGCCACCGTTTCAAGCTTCGTGATATATGATAAGGTCGAGAAATAAAATATCCGAGAAGGTTGCTGATTCTGAAACTACTCAGATGTCAACTTTTTAAAACCTCAATCGAAAATGTATCAGACATTTGACTTAAAATGATAGCTATGTATTAGTATAGGTACATGTATGTATTTTTGTCAAACACTATAGGGTATGCCTTTTTGTTATTCAAAATATTTAAAAATGATGAGGTAAGGGAGCTACCATTTGATTTTTAAGGGGGGGGGGGGGGCTAGGATAAAAAATTTTGTCCTGCATTTTTTTAGTTGTAACCTCTGTCCTGCCTTTTTATTTTTCACTCTATTCGGTCCTGTCTTTTTTTTTTTTTTTTAGCTTATCCTGACTTTTTTTTACATAAATTGTCATTCTGCCTTTTTTTTTTTGCAAAGTGTCTCATCCTGCTTTTTTTTTAACTCAAAACTCCTGTCCTGCCTATTTTTTTCAAATTTCGTCCTATCAACCCCCCCCCCCCCCCATAAAAATCAAATGGTAGCTCCCTAATCTCCTAAAATAGCAAATTTGATAAAAATGAATAGTGATACACCGGGATATAAGACAGCAACCCGTAGATAAAAATAACCGAACGACTTCTAGACTTCTCCCTTTCATCCCAGTCGGCAGAACCTTCCTATGCTACTAATAAGTAATTCATTCTCGTCCTGAATATACATAAAATATTTGCCACTGGACATTTAGAAAGCAACATCCTACCAATTTAACTTCTCTCAAAATACTTTATTAATTCTTGAATGGTTTGATGTTACCCTATAGCAAAAATGCAAAGACACCGTTAAAATTAACACCTTTCCTTATTTTCGCGCGCGAAACCGTTAAATATTATTGTTACGATGCAAGATATTAAATATCATGATGCATGGATGAATTGGTGTTCAACGTCCAGCGTGCAAATAAAACATGCATTTCAGGACAAGATCATGTAAGTATTATAGGAATATGAGCCCTTGCTTTGAACAAGACCAAAATGTTCATGATCAGCCAGATTTTTTATGTGCTAGTTCACAAGGTAACATCTCAGATGAAGATATGTCCCACTACCTGTGCACATTATTACGACTCTGAGCCGACCAGTCTTTCTTTTTTCTCTTGTATGCTAATCGTAGAAGCAATAAATGCTAAAATTCAAGTCTTTGGTTTAACTCGTCCGGTGATCCCCGGCCCCTGGACTTCAGGCGAGCATACCATAACGAGACCACCGAGGAGGTTATGTCAATGGTGCAAGGACAGTTTATCAACAATGAGAAAAACACTAGATGTCAAAATTCAACATTTTTGTCTTCCTTCCATAATCGGTTTCCCCTACCGTACTTTTAAGGTTAAACAACAAATTTATCAATCTTTTTTGTTTACGTCGATGCATTTTGTCATCTATAAATTTTATAATGAAAATGAATGTAAATAATAATTGCAATGAAAAATAAAAAAAAGTTAAGGTTAAAAGGTTAAAAACAAAACGTATAATTTCTATGGACCTTTACGTAAAATAGTCTTAGTGCGAATGTCAGTAAAGTAAAGGCATTGGAATTCATCAGGAAATACCATCGATTATCTTCTGCTCTACATACCGAATTGTTGTCCGATTCAATTAACTCTTTGAATTTGTTAAATTTAGGAAATGACGCCCCTTTCAGGTGTTTAGTTCACTATTTAAAATACGATCACAATACATTTAAATTGCATTCAGATTTGACACATATCTATGCCGAAACAATATTTGACTTAAAAAGTAATTTTATCTTTTTGTGATATGATATTGTGAATCACTGATAAATTTCTATTTTTATACAATTAAAAATCTTCCTTTTCTTTTCGGAAAATCGGATAAAACTGCAAAGTAATGGAACATGTTAACATACTTTTTTAAATACGGAAAGTAAAAGGACAGGCAGATGTAAATCAATTACTAAAAAATATTTACTTGTATAATTTCACGGGTAGATGCATGCACTTAATCTTTGTCAGCAACCATCCCTGGGGTAAAAATGGGGCGTCTCTTTACATGGTTTAAAATTACCAGAAGTCCATAGCAATGTAAATAAATAAAGGTCATAGAAACCTCCAAAATACGTCAAAATTAATCTAATCAAAGATTTTGGTTATGTAAGTATTTGCTTAAACTCAAGTACTCCACTGACCACAATACGGCTACCCCGTACAATAACCTAATTATCCAGATGACTCAAGGGGGTCGTGTGACAACAGAACTTGGGTCAATGGGTATACGCGATGGATAGCCATAAATAAACTATCGTATTATCATAACAAACGAGAGAAAATATTGACATCGAGTAAATTGAGATTTAAGCGGGAAACCCCAACAACTAAATATATAAACCTTTGAAGTTCATTCATACAGTTTATTCTGGTTCAAGAAGTTGACAGCGTAACATTAAATTACTACGAACGGTTGTAAACGTTATTTCATTTCAGGTAAGAGATACAATTTATACATTTCAAAACTAACAGTGAAAGGTTTTTCATTTTTTTAAGTATTCTATACTTTAATATGAATTTTAATTTTAGGTATTGATATTCAAGATTAATTTTTATTTTAAAGTATTTTTTTTTTAATTTTGATTTAACTATACACGGACAACTCTTGAGATTTTATCGTGTTTATGCAGCTTTAAGAAAAAAAGGAAAAGCAAAATAAAGCAAAATGAGAATAATACATATATCAAATTAAACATTGTCATGTATTAGTTTGAGATATTTATCATAATTATAACTATATATTGATATAGCATACATACATATACTTGTATCAAATGTTTCCGCTACGCTCACATTCATGTTTTCTGTGCAGCATTTGACTTCCTCATATTCAAAATGCTGTAAAATTATGATATCAATCAATCAAATATTCTTTTTTCTTATTCATGTTATTAATTTGCGTATAATTTTGTCTTCAGGATGCCAATCGGAGAATCACTAGCAATATTTCAAAAAGTTTCGAAATGGAGAAAGTCAAAAAGGAAAACACAGAAAAAGAGCCGACCACGTAGTATCTTGGATGTGACAGATATAATCAGAAACATCGAGGGTCTAGATTCTTCTTACCATTCTTTTGATGTTGATTTTCAGTACGAAATTCCTTCCAATCTTCCGGAAATTCCTAAACAATCTCGCAAAACCGAAAAATCACGGAAATCTGAAAATCGAAAATCTTGGATGTCATTTATGTGTGGAAGGAATAATTTTGACTTTGATGATCCAAATGAAGAAGCCCCAAGGCCAGAGAAATTGTCAAATAAACAGGAAGGTGATGTAGAAATTACAAAGCAACTTCAACAAGAACAAGAAGAAGAAGACATCAAAACAAAACCAACAACACCGAGTCAAAGTGAGTTAGATGACATTGAAAACCTAACCGAATCGCCGATTTCTTCACAAAATAAAAGACTGTCATGGATGTCTTTAATGTGCGGGAGTCAAAAAAATTTGGATTTCGAAAACCAGCATGTCCTTTCAATGAAACCCGATAAATCATCACCAAAACAAATTAACAAAGAGGAAAATAGAAAATCATGGATTTCACTTGTGTGTGGAAGTGGGCATAAGGAAAATAACTTTAGGAAGTCTGTATATAGAGATTCCGGAATCTCTCTCCTTTCGGAAGACAGCGAGGTTCATCCAATACAGGCGCATTCCAAATTTCAAAGCAGATCATGTGATGACATTTTAGACAGTCTACGTCACAGTGACGATAAATGTGAGGTGTTCAGTGATGAATCTTTTGAATGTGGCTCTCCTTCAATGAACAATCTCTTCAGAACTTCGAGCATCCAAGAAAATTCCTTTCAGATAATGCGCAGACGACATAGAAATGTGAAACGAAGGCGTGGAATTGACTGCGACTCGTGTTACAGCTCGTGCGACTTTAAGATTTTAGCGGGAAGTAAAAGTGAAGGAGACTTGACCAGGGTTGGCTCTTTCGTTGAAAGAGAAGTTCGGTTTTCAGGAATTGAAGAAACATTTAAAGACAAATCAGTTTCATCGATGGAAGTGTGTCGAATTAACAGCGTACACCTTAAATCATGGCAAATCCGTCGCCAAAGACGAGACCAGAAGAACAAACTGAAACGAGCATCTAGAAATCTTGAACTTGTGTTAAGCAAGGACTTCGAATTCGAAGAACGATTGATAATGTAAATTTTTTTATTCAAATATAATTTGTGTGTTGTAAAATTTGTACATATGTAAGTTCATGTAAAAAATTAATCAAGTACTATTTTAAGTACTGTAATATGGATATAAACGGGTTAAATTTTATCAAAATTTATGAATGTACCGAAATACTCTTTAATTCTGCCATTTCATTTAAAACATCCATCATGATTGTAAATTCATAATGTTTTGAAAATAAAAACTATGTATTTCAAATTTGACAATTCTCAGTTTGTTTGAGACAGCTGATAATGCACATAAATTCACGAGACATCTTGTTTTCGGCATACCACTTTCAACAGTAGACCAGTGTCTAAAATATGTCAAGAAAAGCATTGTTCAGGTTCTTGAAATTAGACAGACAAATCCATAATGAACATTTGAACAAGCTTCTCATTACTTCTCCTTTTCAGATCTCTGCCATTGAAAAAACAAAGAATGTACAATAATTTCCATTACAAAAAAAACTGTTATCAATCATAAAAAGAAGTCCCAGGACAACAAGAAAATATCATACCACTGCATCGATAATACTCACTCATTGGTTAATTTTGACGACAAATTGTTTTCATTAGCTTGATATTTTTTCATATTTATCGGTCACTAAAAAGAGATACGGTGGCGGGACCACACAAAACAGTGTCGAAAAAGAAAAAAACGTTTTCCGCAAAACACTTCAAATTGAGCGACATTGACCTTCCAGAAAACTCAAGATTCGCTCAAGTGCTCCCGAAGGGTCAGCTATTTCACTTCACTAGCAAGTTTTTTTTTAGCTCACCGGGGCCCGAAGGGCCCCATCATGGCCATGTGAGCTTATGCCATCACTTGGCGTCCGTCGTCGTCCGTCTGTCGTCGTCTGTTGTCGTAAACTATTTAAAAAATCTTCTCCTCTGAAACTACTGGGCCAAATACCTTCAAACTTTAACTAAATGTTTCTAAGGGTATCTAGTTTATAAATTGTTTCCGAAGTTTTGATCCATCGACAAACATGGCCGCCATGGCTAAAAATAGAACATAGGGGTCAAATACAGTTTGTTGCCACTAAATTGGTAGTTTTAAGGAAATTTTGCAGTTTTTTGTTATTATCTTGAATGTTATTATAGATAGATATAATCTGAAATAAGCAATAATGTTCAGCAAAGTAAGATCTACAAAAAAGTTTATACGACCAAAATTGTCAATTGAACCCTTAATGAGTAATTGCCCTTTAAAGACAATTTTGCACAATTTGTTCATTAAGTTTGCTAACATTTAAAAATCTTCTACTCTAAAACTAACTGGGCCAAATACCTTCAAAAGTTTAACTGCATGTTCCTTAGGGTATCTAGTTTATGAATTGTATCCGAAGTTTTGATCCATCGACAAACATGGCCGCCATGGCTAAAATAAAACATAGGGGTCAAATGCAGTTTTTGGCTTATATCTCAGAAACTAAAGCATTTAGAGAAAATCTGACATTGAGTAAAAAAGTTCAAAAGGTCAAGATCTATCAGCCCTGAAATTTTCAGACAAACGGAACAATCCATTGTTGGGTTGCTGCCACTAAATTGGTTATTTTAAGGAAATTTTGCAGTTTTTGATTATTATCTCGAATATTTTGAAGATACAGATAAACTGTAAACAGCAAAAATGTTCAACAAAGTAAGATCTACCAAAAAGTTAAATGACTAAAATTGTCAATTGACCCCTTCAGGAGTTATTGCCCTTTAAGCACAATTTTACACAAGTTGTTTATGTTTTTTAACTTTAAAAAATCTTCTCAAATGAATCTAGTATAAATTTTGTATTTTATTCTCTTGTACGTCAAGAAACATAGACACTATGGCTAAAATGGAACATATGGGTAAAATGCATTTATTTGCTTTTGAAGTATATATGACAGATACATTTAAATGGCATTTTTATGCCGCTCATTAATATATATTGAAAAGCAAAAATAATCATTGATGAAAGATTGAAGCAAAAAAATAACAGGTGAGCGATTCAGGCTCTTGAGGGTCTCTTGTTTATCATGCAAGTACTACCGTGGATTCATTTATTTTCGTGGGTATCAATTTTCGTGGATTGCTGAAAACTTGCATATTCGTGGATATTTAATTTCGTGGTTTTACCAATCTCTGTGTACAAAGCCTATTGAAAATACGTTATACGTTGAACATTTGAATTCGTGGTTCACCTGTACCCATGAAATCCACAAAAATTGGTATCCGACGAAAAATAATGAATCCACAGTATTCAATGCATTTCAACAAGAAAGTTATGTATTTTTTCATAAGTTTCGTTGTTCTGGGTATAAAAATAAGATGTGCCAATGCGAAAACTCTCCACCAGAGACCAAATGACAGAAGTTAACTACTCTAGGTTACTGTGTGCTTATGTTCGCTAATAAAAAGGGTATAGTTTTGGTCAAAAGAGACACCATATCTTTGTTTACGGTGATTTATGTTACTATAGAATTTTTGCTTCCTTTTCATCGAAAACTTACATCAATACCTGTTTAAAAACCCTAGAGAAAGTGCATAACTCGTGTCTCCTCAATCATTCGGGTAAACTATAGTCAGAAAATTTGGGAAATCAAATAAATCAAATATTGAAGAGCACAAAAAATTAACGGACATAAAGAGACCAATAATTAACCATCTAAGGTCAACTTATAGTTGTAATTTTGTTAGACATTGCTTATGTTCGACTATTATTCTAGTGGATATATAATTACGTATAAAAATAAGAAATATGAGGTATGATTGACAAAAAAGACCAAATGACACAGACTTTAACAACTGTAGGTCACCGTACGGCCTTCAACAATGAGTAAAACCCATACCGCATAGCCAGCTATAAAAGGTCAAGAAATGACAAATGTAAAACAATAAAAACGAGAAAACTAACGGCCAAATTTATGTACAAAATAATGAACGAAAAACAAGTATGTAACACAACAACAAACGACAACCACTGAATTACCTGCTCCTTGCTTAGGACAGGCACATACAGAATGCGTGTTTAACTAGTTAGATGGCGCCATACCCTTTTCTTAAACATCAACAGTGGTGTAACAGCACAAAACACAAGCACTCACTCTTACTTAAATGTACCAGACAAAATTATTCTAGACGGTTTCATTTTTTTCAAGTTGCAACCTCATTAAGGATGCGATTGTCATTCGGTTATTCGTGTTGTTAGGTTGCTGTCTCATTCATGTATGAGTTTCCTACCGCCGGAGACGAAGGGGACTATATAAAGTTTTGCACTCTGTTTGTCCGGTAAGTTTGTCGCACTTTTTCATGTAATGCTTCTATCCATTGGTTTAATATATGGAAAATAAAGTCATATCGTAGAAAGTTAAAGATTAAGTTTGAGGGTTGAGCGATTTGTGTCGAATAAAGTTGTGGTCCTTGGAAACAGAACATTGCTTGAAAATAAGAGCTATTTGGTTTATAGTTATGTCATGAGAAGTCACGGATGGTGTACGGGTTTCGTTCCGGTAGACGGACTTTGCTGAACATATGGCCCTTGGAATAGGAAAACAAAATAACAATAAAAAAAAACCCAGTGTTCCACACTTTCTTCTTTAAAGCGCACGAAACAATTGATTTGATATTTGGTATACAGATATATCATCAGAAATTAATGATTGACCCATATATGTGTAAAAGAATACATGAAAAGTAACCATTACAGAAAGAATGCTTGCTATAAAAGAGACGTCCAAACCTGCGACATAAGTTTGGGATGCATCATGTTTGAGGGTCTGGAAAGGGGGATAGTGCTTCATTTTGTATTTTCAAATTGTTACGGTCATTTTCTCTATTATGTATAACTTTTTGCCTGTTATTGACCCCCATTAATCTCTATTCTGTATATTTTAACACCCAGTTGTTCTCTATTCTTTATTTTTTTGTTCATCCAATTTTTAAATTGGTAAGCATTTATCATGACAGAAATAACTAAAACGAAAGAAAACATTACACATTCGGTATACGTGGGTAATACAATAGAATGTTTTTGCCGATGCAGGTGAATTTGGTGTAAGTATTTTTCCTTTGCAGCAAATTAAAATTGCTACTCCTGTACTCGCAACAGATGCATTTTTCAGGATAAATATTGTATCATATTCTCGCAGCCGGTCTCATTAGTTAAGATATGTTCAGGCAGATTGAAGCACCGAGAATTGTAAAATTGTGTGATTTCCCATTTTGCCCCAGTTTTAGTTGTTTAAAGCGATATTAAAGATAAGAATATTTATTGTGCAAATAAAGGGCCCTCGATGGGCAGCACGACATTAAAACACACAAAACAATACATTATGATTTTTTAAAACTTAAAATAAAAAAAAATACAGTAAAAAGAAATACTAATGTTCATATAGTTATACACCTACATATATTTCTTCATCTTATATATTATAAACCATGTATATTTAATTCAAGGCAGGACCAGAACCACAAAATCGTTGTACAAAATTCATCTTTATTAAGTATATAAATTCAAATTTCGTCTAGATTCTCTAAATACTTTTCATTTATTTGTCAAACAAAGCGGCGTAACTCAGATCCATTATTGGTAAAAGTTTGTGAGTTTTGCTGCTAGGATTGTTGTCCGATTCTCTTTGTTGCTTGTAACAAATCGACCAAAATTAAACAAAAATGAAAATGATATACCTTTATGATAATCAAATATGTATAAAAGAGCAAACTGATAAGCTTGTTATAGTTATGATGTGTTTTGATGCAAAATCATATTAATTGACACCTTACCTTTTTTTGAAAGTTTGGAATACCTTGTATATGTATGTGAGATAAGTTCTTAGTATTACATATGCATTTTTGATACTTGAATAATTCGGTGACAATGATGATGTTGAAAAGCAATGATTGATACTCTTAGAATTAAACAAGATATCACATTCCCCTAGGGTTTGCTTGAGGTAGCTGATCGCTCTGTCAAATTTAATTCAAACGGAATAACAGCTGTTTATAATAACAAAGATTGTCAATGCAATTGTATTCATTAAACTTATTGGAAAAATGCGTGAGATGTAACTAGCAGTGGTCTATTTTTAAGCCGTTTGATCAGATCACAAAAAACAAATCAGGGACCAGAAAAGCAGTTAGCAATAAGGGACAGTAATTCCCAATCTAATTAAAACATAGATCTCTGATTTCGCTATGATCATATGACGAGCGGGCGAGTTTTGATAGATTTGAGTTTTAATCCGAATGGAGGGATTCCATGCTTACAGTGTCTGTATTCAAAGGAAAGAAATTGGACTCTTGCCGTCTTAGATGTGAAGTTATGTTTACTTAATTAAGTTCTTCATTCTTTGTAAGAGATATTGTAAAAATCTAATACTTGTGTACATTTAAATACTACATCATACTTGTACATATATCGATCACACCTTGATTACACAGGTGTTAATCTTCCTTGTAGCCATTTTGTTCAAGGTATATTATTTCTACTAGTTAATTTAGAATTCTTCAAATTGAACATCAATCAAAGTCTTAAAAATGACCAATGAGGCAGTCACAATTCAGATTAATTAAAAAAGCATAGTCCTCTCTTGTCGACATTAGTGGCATTGCTTATCAGCCGCTAAATGCATAGAATAAAATAATAATAATAATCTATTTTATTATTGTGTCACATATTGATTGACATACATATTATACAATAACATTAAAACATACATAGAACAATCAATACCCAGCCATATCAATTTGGCTTATAAGACACGTTGCACAAAATATATACAAATATAAAAATCCAACAATACTTTGAAATACTATATATATTTAAAACTAATAACTATGATTTAAGAGTATTTTCAACATGATGAATAATTCGAAAGAAAAATATATAAAACATTTTCGTTAAAAATATTTACTTTACATTTATCTAAAACTTCATACATATGTGAAAATATTTACGTAAAGATATCTAGAAAAAAAAACTAATATGCATAATGAAAATAAACAGAATTAATTAAAATGATTATTCAAGGTTAAATATTTTTTTAAAAGTAAACAATATTAAAGTCGCATAAAAACGGTTAAAAATTTATGTAAACAATTTAAGTCGCATAAAAAACTTATAAATACTTTTACATAAAAATGGCTGAATCTCGGAGCAATTCATGATTTGTATAGATTTTAAATCATCATTCAAATTTTCGAAACTATTAATATGTTGTGAACATTCTGAGTAAAGGTCAAATCTTAAGTCATTATAGACAACAGTTCAATAAAAAATGTTTCTCAGTTTCAACACTATTGACAGAACAATAAATACATAAACGATCTTCAACAGGTATTGGCGGCTTGGTGTATCTTCCAGTCTCGATGGCTAACGGGAGTGAGCCTGCACGAAACAGGGCCATTACACGTCGGTACGACCGTAAAATAATTTTGGAAACATACGGTTCCACGGAACAGTTACTTTTGTATTGCCTGTATGTTCTAAGTTTATTTCCATTATCTTTTCCGCGATCGTTAACACGGGTAGTAACCTCGTCATATCGAGAAGTGTTTAGTACAGTGATTTTGTCATAGTTTGGTTAAGATGAACATGGTTGTGTTAAGTTACTTCCCCGAACGATTGCCTCAGTTCTATTCATACGAGCAAATAAAAAGCAAATACGATGTTTTAATTTGCATTGTTAGTCAAACGATCTACATTGGAAGTGTTGTTTTCTAGAAACTAACGCAAAATAAGCAAACTATCGAAATTGCTATGGTTTGGTTAAGTTATGACATGGTTCGGTTAAGTGTCTAGAAATTCGTCATGGTTTTGATCAAGTTTGTCATGGTTTAGATCAAAATTAATATATAACTGTTTCAGCTCAATATTGATAGTTTGTTTAAAAACGCTTGTAATTAAACGAAGTTACACAATTTACCAACTGACTAAGTAGAAAAAAAGCCTTTTAAACCAAAATTAGATGCTGTAATTGGCAAAGCGTACATTAAACAATTTAACTGTTCGTGACTTGTCTTTGTATGCAAATCGTACTACTACGAGTGTCTTGTAAAAGAATAAGGAAAAAAATAGCACTCATGTAATCCCACATACAAAAACATCATTTGACAAGGATGAGATTTTGGTGATTCAAAGTCCTTAATAGCTTCAATGATCATTACTTTGAGCAGCAGTTCGGATGACTTACCTTGTTTGTATTGGATACCTAAATAGCTTCACAAAATTCCATTCAAACAGTCGTTCATTGCCAGCTCATCTGCATGTTCGACGAAAGAATTGTTCATTAGATTGACAAAGATTCTTTCCGCAATGAAAGAGGGTTTTCAGAAATACCGTGAAACAATTTACTGTCGTAGTGGTATTAACCATGTATGGATTTTAAAAAAACTCTTAAAGAACTTCTGAATAAATGTAAATCTCGATCTTTCTCTGAAATTAGTTCTATCAAAACGTTTAATTTTTCAACCCTGTGTACCACCATTCCCTATGTGTAATTGAAAAATCGTCTAAAAGAAATAATTTAAATCTACAATGCTTTTCAACATAAAAATGGTAGCGCACGCTATACATTTATTACTTTTGGATACCATACGGCATATTTTGTTAATAGTGAACAAAAAAATAAAACATGCTACACAGAGGAACAAGTGACCAGTATGCTGGAGTTTCTTATTGACAAAATATTTGTTGAATTTGGAGGTAGACTTTGTCACAAAATTGTCGGTATTTCTATGGGAGCGAACTGTGCGGCAGCGACCTCTTCTTATCTCCATATTAGTCGGAGTTCCTTCAGACATTTGTAAAAAACAAGAAGATCAAAGAAGCCAGGTCATTTAATTTCACATTCATATATATTGATCTTTCCATTAACAATCCAGACTTTTCTGATTGAATTCCATTAATACATCCCCAGAACTAAATATTAAAGGAACAACAGACACGGCTTCCTCTGCCTCATTTTTAGACTTATACCTCGAATTTGACATGAGCGGTCATCTTTGTACCAGAATCTATGACAAACGAGACGATTTTAATTTTAAAATTATCACTTTCTCCAACCTTAGTAGCAATATACCAATTCTCCTGGATATAGGATATACATTTCCCAACTCATTCGATATTCAAGAGCTTGCAGATGCTACTCAGACTTTGTAAACCGTCACCAGTGTCTGAGCAGAAAGTTGATGAACCAGGGGTATGTCAAAGAACGTCTCGTCCCTTTTCCAAAAAAGTTCATCGGAAGACCTTGTGGGTAAATATTCCTTTTCAACTTCACAAATAATAAAAGATGGTCTTTAAGTATAGATTCTAAGTACTGACATTGTTTGTCACCTTAATGACGTGTTATGGTACTCTTTTATTTGTTGTTGTAAATTATTACTTTAACTGTTTAGTCTATTTTTGGCCCAATCCATTTGACGTGGCTCGGTACTTATATATCCCGTCATTGTGTTATTGTGCTATGGTAAATTTTTGTATTCTTGTCTTTCGTTTTTGCTTATGTGCTTTGCCTTTTTGTTTTTCTTTGTTGAAATATTTGTTTTGTTTTTATAGTGACTATGATTATAACACAATATTGACTACTGTACCCTTATGTTTTGACATTTTTACCTATTATGTCTGTTTGTTTTGTTCACACATCGTCGTCAATATAATGGAATTTTATGCGACTGTCATACATGTGAGAGGTTAAGCTGGCTATAAAACCAGGTCTAATCCACCATTTTCTACAGCAAAAATTCCTGTACCAAGTCAGGAATATGACAGTTGTTATCCATTCGTTTGATGTGTTTCAGTATTTGATTTTGCCATTTGATTAGTGACTTTCCGTTTAGAATTTTCCTCAAAGTCCCGTATTTTTGTTATTTTGCTTTTATAATTTAGATAGCCACTGCTCTTTTAAACTTTTGAGATAATAATTACAAAAACAGAAAGCGCTGCTTCTGTTTCACATAGATTATTTTCTCCGTATGTCCATGATTGACTCTGTCGATGATATCGTGAGCGGCATCACTTGTAAAATGTGTAAAAACGTCTACTTAAAGTTGCAAAACGTATCAGCTAGTCAAAAAGTAATTTTTGTTCTACTTTTTTTTCTACCAAACTATGGCTGTGTTTGGATATACGCCTAAGGCAGCCTATGGTTACCCATAGGTATCTTTGGGTACCCATGGTTTGATATTTTGATATATAGAATATCAAACCAAAGGTACCTATGGATAACCATAGGCCACCTCTGGCGTATATCCAAACACAGCCTATATATCTGTTGTTTTATTTTGAACCAGTCTATGATGAATTAATGGAGATGTGGGGTTATACGCCCATGCTATAGTATCCCAACTACAAAACTACTAAGTAACCAAAAGATATCAAGAGGACACGATAAGTCTTCAAGCATCCACGAAACAAAGAGTTAACGCGTGACATGGACAACAGTTAAAACTTATTTGTTTTATAAACTATTAGTAAAATTAAAATAACAAAAAAATACACACAAGTTCAGAATTTAAATATATGAAAAATCACAATTCCGAATCAGAATGAAGCCGATTAAATGTCCACTTTTATCAATTATTTTTACGAACCGAATAAAAATGATTATGTTTTTGTAATATTGTATAATACATTGGTTTTCTCATTTAATTGTTTTTTACATATAAGTTTGTCGGAGCCTTTTATAGCTTGCTAAAAGGTATGGATTTTGTTCATTGTTGAAGGCCGTACGACGACATATAGTTGCTTACATCTACGTCATTTCGGTCTCGGGTGGATAGTTATCTCATTGGCAATCAGACCGCATGTACTTAATATATATAATACTACATTGAATGTGCGTATATATGTCCTTTTGTATTCCAATAAAAACGATTTAAAAAAGAGTAATTCAATATATAATGTCTGTTTATTTTGATCGTTACTCTTCCTTTATTCACGAATAGAATCACATAACTGAACCATGTTCAACATGAAATAAACCATGACACGAATAAACCAAACCATGACACCGAATATTCTGTAATCTCAAATTGTGTGCACTAGGGGTAGTTTTTCGGGATAATTGACAGCAGTTTTATATCATAACAAAATATGTGATGTAGCAGACAGTTAGCAAACCACTTTTCTTTATGCATTAGAAACAAATCACAACTTTTAAATTTTGACATACGCAAGTATTATTCTGTGTCAAATTAATAACTATATGATACAAATTTTGATGTGCTAACATATTACCTATAAACAAAGATGCTTACCAGCTTGAATTTGTTGTCATTAGTTCCATTAACAAACTATTCGAATGTTTATATTTTGACACTGTTTGTCATCAAAAACACTTAACACAACCATGTTCATCTTAACCAAACTATGACAAAATCACTGTACTAAACGCTTCTCGATATGACGAGGTTACTACCCGTGGTTAAAGAGTTCTGTATTATTTATGGTGTTAACTTGTTCAATGACTTTT